ACGAGTACGCGAAATAGAGGGCAACGCGAATTCTCAAAGTCGATATTCTCCGTGAATGAAGGCTTCTCGTACGAAAAAATCCTGCTCTCCCACGCACGGTGAATATTTTTCTCGAATAACTTTCAACCTCGCGAAAGGAAATTCCTTAAATCGTTTGTGTTATCTCACTCTGGTAATATGGGAAGCAGAATTCCACTGAATAGCGACTAGACCACGCCACGAACGTATTTAGAGATCTCCTTTCTGTGAAGATTCATCTCCATTTATCGTGGAACGCAAATAAACAGCTGCTTTTCAAATAAAAATTTTTTTAAATTAAATTTTTTTAGTTATTTGTAAAATCAGTATTTGTTAAATTGGTTGTTTTTTAAAAATTGGGTTTCATCTCGAATTTTCAAATCTTAAAATTTAATCAAAAATAGGGTTTTCAGAAGAAAATATTGTAGTTCCCAAAATCTCTATTTTTAGTAAATTTAATATTTTAAATTGCGTTTCATTAACCACTGTCAGTATAAAAGACAGTTTTTTTGTGTGGTATAAAATGATACATGAAATTTATCGACATTTCATACTGAGATAAAACAATACATATAAATCAAAAAAACATTTTTATAAAATCGTTTACGAATTTCTGTCTGGGCACTGTTTTTTCTCAATTTTATATTTCACCACTAATTTTCCATTTTTTACAGAAATTTTAATTTTTTATATTTTTATATTTAACTAGCATGCCTCGTCTCGGCTTCTCCCGACCATGTCCAAAAGTAATTAACGACGAGACGATCGTCCTGACATATATATCCGCGATAATGCAATTCTCTCGCGAGAAAGCGCTCGATAAGCTCCGCCACCTGGCGGTAACATCGCAGTACTGCTACGGGCGAGGTATCGCGCGGGCCGAATACGCGAATCATAAAAGTGCGCGTATAACGCATATTCGTAGAAATTTTTCGATGTTTTTTTTTTATAAACCATCAGCGAAAGTAGACCTTTCCAACGCATGTACTCGTTTGAAAATCGGTTGAGTGGTTCTCGAGTTATAAAATCACGAACATAGGACAACTTATTTTTATATACATAGATGTATTATATTTTAGTGTTTGATTTTTAGCTCTTATCGTAGTTATACTTGTTCGAATATTTTTCGTAATATTCCTTAATAGTGAGACGAAGGAAGGAAATGTAATTGCAAACATCGAAACCAATTTTTATATAATAGCCAGGCATTTCTCGAAACTCTGTGACTCAAATCGTGGAATCAACAGATTTATGTATGAAAAATGGATGTATCGTCGATTTCACGACACAAAACAACCGTAGTATCACGCTGTCAATGTCAAAGTGTAGACTCTTCGTCGAACGATGTTGTTGTAATGGTTAATTAAAAATAATGTTCACTCACCGACCCAAAACAATTGTCTAAGCGTAAATCGTTACGAGATTTCGTCGTTACGTTAGCATTAAATCGTCGAATATTATATCGAGTAGGCTGGCGATTATAAAACAGAGGATTAAAAAACCTGCAACGAAGGACACATTTTGTTTATTCGTTCTCCGTACTTGCATCCTGTGCGTGTGCACCACACAACGTACGTACAGAAATTTCGTTCGTCTCGTACAAGATGCGCTAGTTTCCACAAAAATTTATAATTGTGCGTGCACTAGACAATTGGAAAAAAAAGAGTAATATCTATATTGAATCGATCTTTAAACTCTAAAAATTTCGTTTCATCAATGTTTCCCCGAACGTCGACTCGATCGTCATTAATTGCAATCGCAGGGCTATTTCGACTAAAAATTTAATTTTCAAACTGCAAAAATTTATTTCCATTCCTAAGTTGCAATTAATTGCAATCGAATTGCAGAATTTCAATCTGATTTTTGCTGTTTAATTTTCAAGGGATTATCGATTATTTTGTTTAAAAATTTCATTTCAACAATTTTCCCTGAACGTCGACTCGATCGTCATTAATTGCAATCGCAGGGCTATTTCGACTCAAAATTCAATTTTCAAACTGCAAAAATTTATTTCCATTCCTAAGTTGCAATTAATTGCAATCGAATTGCAGAATTTCAATCTGATTTTTGCTGTTTAATTTTCAAGGGATTATCGATTATTTTGTTTAAAAATTTCATTTCAACAATTTTCCCTGAACGTCGACTCGATCGTCATTAATTGCAATCGCAGGGCTATTTCGACTCAAAATTCAATTTTCAAACTGCAAAAATTTATTTCCATTCCTAAGTTGCAATTAATTGCAATCGAATTGCAGAATTTCAATCTGATTTTTGCTGTTTAATTTTCAAGGGATTATCGATTATTTTGTTTAATAATTTCATTTCAACAATTTTCCCTGAACGTCGACTCGATCGTCATTAATTGCAATCGCAAGGGTATTTCGACTCAAAATTTAATTTTCAAACTGCAAAAATTTATTTCCATTCCTAAGTTGCAATTAATTGCAATCGCAGGGCTATTTCGACTAAAAATTTAATTTTCAAACTGCAAAAATTTATTTCCATTCCTAAGTTGCAATTAATTGCAATCGCAGGGCTATTTCGACTAAAAATTTAATTTTCAAACTGCAAAAATTTATTTCCATTCCTAAGTTGCAATTAATTGCAATCGCAGGGCTATTTCGACTAAAAATTTAATTTTCAAACTGCAAAAATTTATTTCCATTCCTAAGTTGCAATTAATTGCAATCGCAGGGCTATTTCGACTAAAAATTTAATTTTCAAACTGCAAAAATTTATTTCCATTCCTAAGTTGCAATTAATTGCAATCGCAGGGCTATTTCGACTAAAAATTTAATTTTCAAACTGCAAAAATTTATTTCCATTCCTAAGTTGCAATTAATTGCAATCGAATTGCAGAATTTCAATCCGATTTTTGCTATTTAATTTTCAAGAGATTATCGATCATTTTGTTTAAAAGTTTAAAGATTGCACGATCCGTTTGTACACGAATGATTGGGCTCGCATAATTCGTGGATTACGCGACCCAGATCCTGTACCGATGACATTACATCGAACAAGTGATAAACAGACGCATGCCGATTATACTACACAATTTGCATTATATAATCGGTAATTTGTTCGTTAGTGTATGTACACTATTAAGATCGAGAAAACAACAGGCGTTGCGAAACGATGAAATGAAAGACCCACGCCAATTATGCCGGATGATTTGCATAGTGCAATGTTTCGTGTTCGTGATTATTGATCTAGGCTGAATATAAAACAGTATTATAAACAGACGAAACAAACACATTCCAATTATACCGTTTAATAATGCAGTATTTACCAGCTCGATCGTCGATGCAGATTAAACGCGTAATATTCGTAATTTCGTTCGCGACATGCATTTTTTTTTACACGATATTCCAGGTTAATAATTTCTCCTAACGAACGGCGGAACTAACAGCCTCGATTAAAAAAAAATTATTTCTGAAAATTAATGAAACGAGTCGAAAGTTACTCTGATCTCTCGATAACCATATTAATGCATTCTCGAGGATTTCAACGCGTTGGAATTCGCTGCTGTTTCATAAATCATGCACCAGCGATACGCAACAAGTTTCGTACGAGTTATCGACAACGTTTTCTCGAATTATACGGTCCCCGTAGTCCTCCCAGAGACAGAGTAATGTTTGCATTAACTATTATTTTATTCATGAGGGTGATTATGCTCGAATTATTGGGGCTTATTTGCAAGTAACATATTTTCTCCCCTGATATCACGGTTTGTTGTTTCAGAATTAATGCGACGATTATTCACGAGCGGAGGTCGAAAAATGAGCATCTGGACGAACCACGAATTTTCGAATTTTGTTTCGCTGCTTTTTGTTCCCCCTTTTGATCTCGCCCGGAACTGGCTCCGTTCCAACCGGAGGATAAAAGAAACTCGTAGAATTTTGTATGGCCCGATAAACTGTATTACTCCGTGATATGGCATTTTTCCCAAACTATAATTGCCCCCTTTTTTTAAAAAAGATCTGGTTTTGTCCGTAGAAGTCATTTGCTTGGATAAAAGTTGTACTCGATATTATTAAACTTTTACTATTATCTGATCCATTTAATGTCGCGAAATTTTTCTCACGGGAAAGTGGAAGTGCTACGAAAGATTCTAAATCACAACGATAAAAGGGAGGTTTATGGGTTTCGGGGGGGGGGCATGAAATATTCATGAAACAAGTAAAATTGCATAAATTCCTTGTAAATTGGTTTAGAACGATCGTCCAGAGCTACGCGGAGATAAACAAGATAAGAATTTAGCGTAGATCGATAAAAATAATTTTTCTCGTTCGAAAAATTTTGTTAAAAGTATAATATTTGCAAAGTGTCCGCGCGGAACGTGGTACGTTCGAATGTAAATGCAAACACCATCGCGATCGATGGACGAGAAAGAAAAATGGAACGAAAATAAAAAAAGCACATTGTTAATTTTAACCGTCCATTACGTTCGCAAACGATGCAGCTGTGTTTGCATATGTACGTTCAAAGTGCACGCGAAGCTTTGCGCGAGGCTTTTCTCGAAACCGTTTTTGTTCGATCGGGTTGCCATGGTATCCGAAGAACGAATCGATCTCGCTTCAAATTTGACACGCGAAACAGCGATAACAAGCTGCCCTATTAAAATTAATCCAACGTCTGTAACAGTTTCGTTCGAAGAGTCGAAAAATATTCGATACTCGAGAATTTCGTTTCCACGCGATAACAAAATCGCATTTGGCACGAGAGACTCCCATATTTCGACTTGTCTCATAGTTTCCACTCGTTTCCAGGTTTTTAACTTTGGATAACCGGAACGTTCGTGAAAAATAAGTCGATTAGCGTATATTCGAAACGAGCGTATAATATTCCCGAAAACTGAAAGGTTCGCACGATGGAATTCTCGTTAATCTGCATCCACGGAAATAGTAAAACCGCGTTCACAGATAATATCTGAGTTACAACAAAGAAATGAGCGAATGTGTACCGTGTGAATGCGTATGTACCTGGGTGTAGGTCATCCAGCAACACGGCTCCACCTGATTGGAGTCGAGACCCCAGAAGTCTAGCTCCTCCTCGAACAACGGCCCGCAAACATCCGTCGGATAGTGGAGCTTTCCGGTACGATAGTAGTTGAGGACCTGGGCGAAGACCCCCGGATGTCTGTCGAAGAAGTACTCGTTCAAGATGGGGTCGTAGTTCCCGAGGGCCTCGGTCAGCCTCGAAAGCCTCGTCGCGGGGATCTTCTTCAGGGTCGCCTTGTACGTCTCGTGCCGGATTCCACCCACGTTCAGGACCACGCGGTTCTCCGAATCCATGTTTAGAAGACTCATTTTGATCACGGCTCTGCTACCGCCGCTCCTGACTCAGAGAAACCCACGCGGCCTGCCAACAAAAAACAAAACGTTACCCTTTACTCGCCAAACACCTAAATTATACTATCAAATTCACTAATCTTTTTTATTTCAAAGCAATGGGTTGCATTTGACGATATCTCTGAGTTTTGTAGCATAACTTTATCAGTTACTCGAGCTGTGTTTCAAGGGCGCCATCTGGAGAGTGATTCCACTCAGTGTTATAAGCAGACTGCGAATGTTTATGCATTTATGGGGAATTTTAATTCTCAAGAAACTACAGAATGCACTTAATATGCAAAAAGATAAGAAATACGAATTATTATATTTAAGGGTTGAGACAATCATCTACAAAGCTCCCATTTTATTAATTCCGTTTTTTTTGCATAAAGATCCGCAGTCTAGTTATAAGATTATTTCATATAATGCTCTGTAATTTCATTTGTTTCTTAAACGCAATTAATACGAATCCTTCTCTTAGATTTTACTACCTCTAGATTTCTCAAGCAACGATTACTGATATTGGTATTCTTTAAAAAGAATTCTACTCGAGTGTCTGTGTTTTGTAAATTAGAAAAAGAACGAGATCGATGCACGTTCGATATTAGCGGGCATCTCTGGCCCTACGTGTACTGCGCATACGCGAGCGAGAGAGACGCGGTGCTGCGCGCGCATTGCTCGACTGTTGCAGCATCATGGCCGACAGGAGCTTGTGTGTCGTTTGTCGTTGAAATATATTTCTGGTTATTTGTTGTAAAGTGATCTGTGATTTGTGATTTAACTGCTCCAAATCCTGGTCCAGCCTCGCCTCGGTATAATTCTGTTATTAAGATGATTCGTGATTCAACCACCGATTCCAAATCCTGATCCAGCCTCGCCTCCGTATGATTCCGACAATTATTGCCCACAACGCGCCATCTTAAGCGAAGAGTGAGTAATTTTATTCGTTCATTAAACGGAAAAGTAAACAATTAACACGACTTTTTGTCTTCGATTTTGCTATCTCTGGATTTCGTAAATGCGATAGAAAAGAAATTATTATCAAAATTCCCATCAAAATGCTGCCAACTGTTTTTAACCGGTATTAAACGCCACCATCGACTATTATTTCGTTTTATTCGGCCGTCGATGTGCAATCCGGGAGAGTACAGAGCCGTTTTAAACGAACGTAAACTTTGTCCAAAGCCGACGCGATCCGGGCGAGGGAGAGAAGGGGATCGGAAAAGCACTTTTTGTCAATTCGTTTGATTTATGGGGATTTTGGTCATCCCGTAACGCGAAATTTAATTTTTAGTCGCTTTATCGAATTCGCTCTTTCGCTGTCGATGAAAACGAGAGTTTTTCCTCGTAAAATCGTTCCGATAAGGACCGGTTCTCGTGGCGTGTGACGCAATCTGTGACATCGCGAGTACTTCGTGGGAAAATGGCAATTCGATTTTTTACGCTTCTAAATCGACGTCCATGCTTCCCCTGTGTATCTCGAACGTCGATTTCAGAGGGAAGCTTAAGGAGGCTTTCGCGTTTCGAAACTGTCGAAAAAATTGTGTGTTGGCGATTCTCTGTTTTTCGATTTTCGAACCTTTTTCAAAAATATATGAATACTACATTCGTTTCTGATTATTGGATTGTTAAAATGCGATTACTGCGATCGAAAACTGTTTGACAGAAAATCTGTGAGATTATCGATACGAAAGCCACACAGTGGTGACCTCTGCGCGCCATTTAAGAAACTAGTCGGTCACGTGATGTCTTACGCAAGCTGACCGGCAGTCGTGCTTGGATCGTTCCTCCGGTAGGACGTGTTTTTGCTTCCCGTTAATTCATAATTTACAATAAAATGTATTTTATTCTTTGCACCTGCCCTTTATCGGTTAATTCTCCGTCCGATGATCCACTAACCTTTCGCAAAATCGTTTATCCGAGGGTATATATTTTTAACGAAGCATTCCGCCGAATATGAAAGATTCCAGGGGGCATTGGAAGTCACTGTTAAACCAGAAAGAAAAAATTCGTCTGGCGGAAAGATCAGAGGCGGTTCACCGTTGCGGAAGACGTCGGTTCGAGCGCTTTGAAGGAACCTCGATCGCAACAAAAGGACATTTTTTTCGAGCGTCAGAGTACAGCGCGTGGAATAGCTGAGCGGATAAAACCGTTTCGAGGGAATCGTTATCGAATAATCGCGTTCCCTCGAAACTTTCGCGATCGCTTTGATGGAATTTTCCAAGCGGCGGGCAATTTTTCAAATTAAGCAGATAGATGCCATTTCCTCCTACGGGGTGGTTTAATAAATGATGGTTGCAGAACTTTGTTTCGATCCGAGCATACAATGGGGAGGGGAGGGGGAAAATAAATTACGTTTCGATACAGTGGAGTCTCGATCCATTGAAAAGCTTCGACTTATTTGTACTTTTACAACATAATCCGACAAACCTAATTCTTTGTACATCGAGCTTCTATAAAAATTTATAGAATTTATTTAAAAATTCGAGCAAAATGTTCCATTGAAAAATTGAGAAAATTTGACTTCCAAAGTATAAAAGTTAATTTTATTATTTAACATTTTTTAAATTCTTTGAGACACGAACAATGGTGGTCGTTTCACATTTTTATCGTACGCTTTTGCCCGCGACTAATAAAAGACGATCGAGCTCGGAGTTTCGTCGATCGAAAAAATTCAATATCATCGAATCTTTGTCGAACCGCTGGAACATTTTTCTAATTATACGCTTTCGTGACTACGCCGTCGTCGTGTGCATATTTAACAATTGCACTTAACTGGGACGACTAAAAATACGAGCTCTTTAATTTCTCCGCCGCGTCCAACTTTTTTATCTTCGAATGCACGTTGTCGCGGCTAATTTTGCTCGAAAGTGGGTACAAATTGGCCGATAGCCACGGCGAAAACGAGCCTGGCGCCGCTCGATATCCGAACGACTCGTGTAAAAATGTAAAACAAACGCTCGAAAAGAAACTGACGTCGCTGGAGGCTTTTAAACAAATGCAATTTTCCGGCTTTTCTACAGGCTTTTAAAATGTACTATTGGACAATTGGAAAGGGAAGAAATTGTTAAAAAAATATTTATACAATTTTATATTATTGTTAAACGAATAAAGTTGGCTGGTTAAAAGTACAGTTAATTATTGGACAATTGCAAAGGCAAGAAATTGTTAAAAAAATATTTATACAATTTTATATTATTGTTAAACGAATAAAATTGGATGGTTAAAAGTACAGTTAACGATTGGACAATTGCAAAGGGAAGAAATTGTTAAAAAAATATTGATACAATTTTATATTATTGTTAAACGAATAAAGTTGGTCAAAAGTACAGTTAACGATTGGACAATTGCAAAGGGAAGAAACTGTTAACTGTATATAGCAACTGAGGGGTCGTGAGAGCGCTTGTGAGAGCGCGAGCCCTCTGGTGGCGAGCATGGGAGACGACGCCACAGTACAATTAACGATTGGACAATTGCAAAGGGAAAAAACTGTTAAAGAAATATTGATACAATTTGATATTATTGTTAAACGAATAAAGTTGGTTAAAAGTACAGTTAACTATTGGACAATTGCAAAGGGAAGAAATTGTTAAAAAAATGTTGATACAATTTTATATTATTGTTAAACGAATAAAGTTGGTCAAAAGTACAGTTAATTATTGGACAATTGCAAAGGCAAGAAATTGTTAAAAAAATATTGATACAATTTTATATTATTGTTAAACGAATAAAGTTGGCTGGTCAAAAGTACAGTTAACGATTAGACAATTGCAATGGGAAGAAATTGTTAACAAAATATTGATACAATTTTATATTATTGTTAAACGAATAAAGTTGGTTAAAAGTACAGTTAACGATTGGACAATTGCAAAGGGAAGAAATTGTTGAAAAAATACCAATACAATTTTATATTATTGTTAAATGAATAAAATTGGATGGTTAAAAGTACAGTTAACTATTGGACAATTGCAAAGGCAAGAAATTGTTAAAAAAATATTTATACAATTTTATATTATTGTTAAACGAATAAAATTGGATGGTTAAAAGTACAGTTAACGATTGGACAATTGCAAAGGGAAGAAATTGTTAAAAAAATATTGATACAATTTTATATTATTGTTAAACGAATAAAGTTAGTCAAAAGTACAGTTAACGATTGGACAATTGCAAAGGGAAGAAACTGTTAACTGTATATAGCAACTGAGGGGTCGTGAGAGCATTTGTGAGAGCGCGAGCCCTCTGGTGGCGAGCATGGGAGACGACGCCACAGTACAATTAACGATTGGACAATTGCAAAGGGAAAAAACTGTTAAAGAAATATTGATACAATTTTATATTATTGTTAAACGAATAAAGTTGGTTAAAAGTACAGTTAACTATTGGACAATTGCAAAGGGAAGAAATTGTTAAAAAAATGTTGATACAATTTTATATTATTGTTAAACGAATAAAGTTGGTCAAAAGTACAGTTAATTATTGGACAATTGCAAAGGCAAGAAATTGTTAAAAAAATATTGATACAATTTTATATTATTGTTAAACGAATAAAGTTGGCTGGTCAAAAGTACAGTTAACGATTAGACAATTGCAATGGGAAGAAATTGTTAACAAAATATTGATACAATTTTATATTATTGTTAAACGAATAAAGTTGGTTAAAAGTACAGTTAACGATTGGACAATTGCAAAGGGAAGAAATTGTTAAAAAAATATTGACACAATTTTATATTATTGTTAAACGAATAAAGTTGGTTAAAAGTACAGTTAACTATTGGACAATTGCAAGGGGGAGAAACTGTTAAATGTATTGTATAGCAACTGAGGGATCGTGAGAGCGCGAGCCCTCTGGTGGCGAGCATGGGAGACGACGCCACAGTACAATTAACGATTGGACAATTGCAAAGGGAAAAAACTGTTAAAGAAATATTGATACAATTTTATATTATTGTTAAACAAATAAAGTTGGCTGATTAAAAGTACAATTAACGATTAGACAATTGCAAAGGGAAGAAATTGTTAAAGAAATATTGA